GTTTAGGGGCGCCTGGGTGGCTCAGTCGGTTGAGCGTCCGACTTCAGCTCAGGTCACGATCTCACGGTTCGTGAGTTCGAGCCCCGCATCGGGCTCTGGGCTGATGGCTCAGAGCCTGGAGCCTGCTTCCGATTCTGTGTCTCCCTCTCTCTCTGCCCCTCCCCCATTCATGCTCTGTCTCTCTCTGTCTCAAAAATAAATAAACATTAAAAAAATAATTTTTTTTAATGTTTAATGTTTATTTATTTTTGAGAGAGACAAAGACACAGAGTGTGAGCAGGGGAGGGGCAGAGAGAGAGAGACGCAGAATCTGAAGCAGGCTCCAGGCTCCAAGCTGTCAGCACAGAGGCCAACATGGGGCTCAAACTCATGGACCGTGAGAGATCGTGACCTGAGCCGAAGTCGGAGGCTTAACCAACTGAGCCACCCAGGTACCCCTTAAGATTTTACTTGTAAGTAATCTCTACATACAACCTAGGGCTCAAACTCACAACCCCGAGATCAAGAGCCGCACACTCCACCGACTGAGCTAGCCAGGCATCCCCTTAACCTTCTCTTCTAATGAACTTTCCATTTTTGCACTAACCTTATTTCCAAGATACTCTTTCTGTTTTCTGACTGTTCCTTTTTTAGAGCATCCTGCAATTTCTTCTCCTATCTCTGCAGACATTAACCGCAGAGGTTGTTTGATTCAATGTTTCCTTCTGCTCCCTCATTATCACGGTTTCCTGGTCTTTCTCTTGCTGTACCAGCTGTTACATCAATAAGCTAAAGATGGCCCCTGTGTTGTTTACTTCACAGCAGGCTCAAAGCCCACCGGTGCTAAACTCAAATTCTTACACATCCTATTGCTTTAAATATAGCCCGCACAAGCATATTTTTAGCCATGTAGGGCCTGCCTGCTTTGTAAAACTGCACCCAACATCAGCTAGCCATGGATAAGACAAACCCAGGGGCTATAAAAAGCCACCAGGTCAATGCTGCTCTTAGGGGATTCTGACCCAGAATCTCCCCACCGTGCTGCTGAGCAATGTCACCTAGACATGCAAGTCCTCTGTCCTAGACCCCTCTCTCCTGAGTGGTCCTTTGCCTTACTCCCCGTCTGGGGGCTGTCACTGTCTCTGTAAGGCCCCTTTCATGCAATCCTGTGCAAGCTCCACCCAGTAAAACATGTGGTGCAACACTGCCATGTCTCTGTCCTGTGTTCCTTGATGGGTCCCAAAACCTGGACCTCACCACACCTAGCCTTAAGATAGGGCTTTCCTGGGGTACCTGGCTGGCTCAGTTGGAAGAGCATGCGACTCTTGATCTCAGGGTTGTGAGCTGAGCCCCATGTTGGGTGTGGAGTTTACTTAAAAATTAAATCTTGGGGCGCCTGGGTGGCGCAGTCGGTTGGGCATTCGACTTCAGCCAGGTCACGATCTCGCGGTCCGGGAGTTCGAGCCCCGCGTCGGGCTCTGGGCTGATGGCTCAGAGCCTGGAGCCTGTTTCCGATTCTGTCTCCCTCTCTCTCTGCCCCTCCCCTGTTCATGCTCTGTCTCTCTCTGTCCCAAAAATAAATAAACGTTGAAAAAAAAAAATAAAATAAAATTTAAAAAAATTAAATCTTTAAAAAAAGATGATAAGGGCTTCCCTCAAACATCTTGGCTCTCCATTCACACGTCAGTGCGGGACTCTGGGAAGCTCCGTGGAAGGCTCTGCACGTGGGCAGGATTTGTCCACAATGAGCTTCCCTTAGAGGGCCTGGTGGGAACTAGACTTGACTGTCAGCGTCTAGATCTTGTCTCTTGGTTAGTGTCTCCAGGGGAAAACCCTCCAGCCTCCCTCCTAAGGAGCCCAAGCCTGACTACCAGCACTCTGGAGGGGGAGGAAAGGACTTGACTTTTGAAGGGTTCAGCAGAGGAGGCCAGGTCTGACTACCCATTCACTGACCACAACCTACCTCCTCCAGTCTGAGAGCCCACACCCCTCAGGCTACCAACCAGACCTAACTGGCCCTGGGGACCCCAGGCACAACTGAGATGAGGGAGTCAATAAGTATGTACCTCCAGAATGGTGATGCCCTCCCCCCAAGCACATGCTTTTTCCTAGAACAGGAGATAGCAAACTTCTCTTTTTTTTTTTTTTTTTTTTCTTTTTTGGAAAGGGCCAGATGGTAAATATTTTAGGCTTTTCGGGACACATGGTTGATGTCACAACTACTCAACTCTGCCACCGTAGCACAGAAGCAACCACAGACTCTATGTAAATGAAGGCATGTGGCTGCATTCCAAAATCACTTTATTTATGGACACTCAACTTTGAATTTAACGTAATTTTCACTTGTCACAAACAATTCTTCTTTTTATTTTTTTTTTCCCAACAGGGTAAACACATAAAATTCTTAGATCTCTGGCTGTACAAAAGCAAGTGGCAAGCTGCGTTTGACCCAGCGGCAGAAGCGTATGGATCCCCTTCCTGGAATATGATGGTCTAGAGATGCCTGTCAAAATCCTCTGAAGCTGTCTTCACCTTCCCCTTAGCAAAGCCTCCCAGCGCTCATTTTTGCCTGTAGGTATAAGGGCTGCAGGTCCTCTCCCTCCCTCACGCAGCCTCCAAAATGTGCCACGGAAATTTAGACACTTAGGAATTGCCTTGGAACAGAACTGGTGGAAACAGCGACTCTAGGATTTGCTGCCAGTTTCTCCCCCGCCCCGCGGGTGGAACAAGTTGTTGATTGTTCTCTTTCCCTGGATTTTAACCAAGGTGATAAATGAGTCCCAGAGGAAGAGATCTCGGGGAAAGGTGGGTGCTCGGAGCCAGAGCCCTGACTCCCAGGCCTTGCGCTTATCTGCGTCAGAACCTCTGTTTCCAGCAATAAAGGCTGTTCTAAGTGGTCCAGGACCTGCCTATCCGCTTTCACATCAAGGAAAGAAGTCCTGCCTTTCTTAGTTGCAGGGGCTGAATGGGGGGTTGGCAAAGAGAAGACCTACTTCCCCCACGTCACATGCGTCTTGGCGCATCAGCTCTGCCAGCCGGTCTCGCTTTCTTTATCTCTAAAGTGGCGACAGTCGTTCCCACCTCCCTGGGTAGTTGGGTGGACTGATATATTAACATTACCAAAGTCTCTGTCACATCGAGGGGCTCCACATATGGCAATTAGTATAATTCTAATTTATCCAGGCAGGAAACTCAAGAGAGGTTAAGGTATCACCATCCAGAGGGCACACAGCTCATTCATTAGGGGTGGAGACAGGAGTAGTTTGTTGTTCAACTCCCAAACTAATATTCTTTCTTCTATCCTGCGCTGCTTTTTTCTTTAAAGTTTACTTATTTTGGAGGGGGGTGCGGGGAGATCCGGGGAGAGAATCCCAGTGCAGAGTTCGAACTCATGAACCATGAGATCATGAGAACCTCTGAGCTGAAATCAAGAGTCAAAGGCTCAATCCACTGAGCCACCCCCATCCTGCACTGCTTTAAGAGGGGGGCTTAGTCCTTTTTATTTTTTTTTAAGTTATTTATCTATTTATTTATTTATTTTTGAGAGAGCAAGAGCGAGTACAAGAGGGGCAGACAGAGAAAGAGAAAGAAAATCCCAAGCAGGCCCTGCACTGTCAGTGTGGTGCCCAATGAGGGGCTTGAACTCACCAACTGTGAGATCATGACCTGAATTGAAATCAAGACTGAACCGCCCAGGCTCAGTCCTTTTTTTTTTTTTTTTTTTTTAACCACACCTGAAATGCTACAGTAGGGAAGGTGTTGGGGCTGGGGGATATTAGCTCTGTTGCCTCCCTTAATTTCAGCCCCCGGGTTTGTGCTGCAGGTGACAGACCCTCTCCTCTGGGGGTTAGACACAGCAAAGCTGCGCCATCAAATGGCACAGGGGATGTTGTGGGCACCGCCCCTTGGCCGCCCCCAGCACCCCCGGCTCCACCCTGGCCCCCTCCCAGCGCAGGCTCCCTTCCTCTGGGCTGAGCCACTCCACTGGACAGTTACAAAGATTCTTTGTAATTTGTTTGCACCGGGAGGAGTGAGAGGAGGGCCCTGGCTATACTCAAACCACATGGGCTGCCAGCCCTGTTTACACAGAGAAGGAGCCAAGACAGATGACCCTGTGGCTTGGGGGCCCTGACTGAAAACACAGCCCAAGCCTGTGGATCAGCCTCCCTGTTTCTGGGCTACACCACACAGAAGCAGCATGGAGGCACCTCTTTACCCAGGGAGGCCTGTTTACTCGGCTGGGTGAGAGGTGTTTGCACAGGAAGGGAGGTGGCAATAGCCATCTGGCTGTTCTCTGGCTGAGCAGGAGAGCATTTGCAGGTCAGGCACTGTCTGTGTTTCAGGGCCTCTGGGGAGGCAGCCCCTGACAGTGGGCTTGCTGGGATGAGTGTCTCTTCTTTCAGAGTGAATGTGGACAATTTGGAAAAAACTGTTTGAAAAAAAATACTGTTATTTGGTTTTTTTCCTTTAATCCAGACCCCCACCAAATAAATTGTCCAGGATCTTTCCCCCAGCTATAGTTTGCAAGGTAGGGAGAAATGCAGTTTTCAGCATTTAAAGAATGGTGAGGTTTGCCACTTATTAGGTACATTGTGGTTTAAAAAGCATTGCCAGGGGTGCCTCAGTTGGTACAGCATGCAACTCTTAATCTTGGGGTTGTGAGTTTGAGCCCTACGTTGGATGTAGAGATCACTTAAAAAATAAATTTAAAAAAATAATTGAGGGGCGCCTGGGTGGCTCAGTCGGTTAAGCATCCGACTTCAGCTCAGGTCATGATCTCTCGGTCCGTGAGTTTGAGCCCCGCGTCGGGCTCTGTGCTGACCGATCAGAGACTGGAGCCTGTTTCGGATTCTGTGACTCCCTCTCTCTCTGAACCTCCCCCATTCATGCTCTGTCTCTCTCTGTCTCAAAAATAAATAAATGTTAAAAAATTTTAAAAAAATAGGGGCGCCTGGGTGGCTCAGTCGGTTAAGTGTCCGACTTTGGCTCAGGTCATGATCTCACAGTCTGTGAGTTCGAGCCCCGCGTCAGGCTCTGTGCTGACAGCTCAGGGCCTGGAGCCCGCTTCCGATTCTGTGTCTCCCTCTCTCTCTACCCCTCCCCTGCTCATGCTCAGTCTCTCTCTGTCTCAAAAATAAATAATAACATTAAAAAAATTTTTTTAATAATAATAATTGATAAAGCTTGTCATATCTACCAGTCTGCATGATCCTCAAGACAGCAGAGTGGGTAGCCATGGCCAGAATCATCCCTATTGCACAGATAAGGAGTAGACGGTTTGAAAGGTCAAGTTGCTTGCACAAAACCACACACCCAGTAAGAGGCAGAAGCCAAGTGACTCCAGTTTGCATGTTCTTTTTTCATGGAGTCCCCTTACCTCCCCATCTGGCTGTAAAGAGAGATACACAGAGAGCTTATTCCAACATGTAACCACCTCACCACAGTGGCTTCTGGGAGACAGCCTTACACCTCAGTGACGTGGCGGAAACCACAGGGGATGAGGCGCTGAGCCTCAAGGGTACTATGCAGGGACCATGGACCGGTCCCTGGGTATCCCCGATGGGGCATTCGCTGGGCTCCAGTGAATGGAGAGGCTGGGGACCAACTGCGTGAAGTCATGTGTAACATACACACTGTACTGCCACCAGTGAAGTCATGGAGGCAAGGGAGGGAGTTACAGAATCACTGAAACTTTCCCCCAAGCTCCTTCACCGCCGTCTCCTCTTGGGCTGTGGCTTGCTGCATCCAAACGGGCAATGTGTCTCCCTGAAGCCACTGCCTGGGTTCCACCTACCGTCCTCGATGCTTCTTCCTAGCTCATTAGCCTCCCTTTGATAACCCCAAACACCAACCACCCAAGTGGGCATCATGCCCAGCTTCCCCCTTTCTCTCTTCACTTCTGTCCCTTAAGTCCTGCCCAATGCAAATTGCTGTGACCTGTGTGACTGATTAAAACTTCTCAGCTCTGTTTCCACCACCCTTAGCCCAGCCCCTGCAACTGACCGGGCCACCACATTCAACTCCTGGTCTTTTCTTTCCTGCCACGGTCAAATCCTGGCTCTTCTCTCTTCTTGCCGATCTATCCTTCAGTGACCACCCTTCTATAATGACCAATGTGTTGCTGTGTTTTGCAGCAAAGTACTCTTGCATACGTACATGCTGACATACTTTCACACAGAGCCCCGTTCTGAAGTTAGCTCCCCCTCCCCACCAGATCTCTGTTCATCTCCTGCCTAAACTGCATAAAATGTTTGGTTTTCTTTTGGTCTTCGTGTCCAAGGCATCTGAAGTCTGCCTGCCATCATTCTTTCAACCAACCTGCCTTTCCTTACTTTCCTGATAAAATGCTACTTGTAAGTTTTCACGTGTTCTTCCTATTGCAAAGTCCTCTAGAAATTCCAATTAGCCCTCTACTGTATCCTTCCTTATTCTCTCTTAACATTCAGTGCCTGTCATCGATTGTTGAAATCAGACTGTGACTCCTGGAACTGGAAGCTTTAAGGACCACGTGGTCACGAATGACAGTTCACTCCATGGCCAGCCACCCCGTGCTGCCTGGACGTGTCTATACATCCACAATGTGTTTCTTTACGCTGCAATTCTCTTGCAGCGATGAGGATCCTCCTCCTTTACACGCTACTCAGATGTTTAGAGGAAGTTCTGGGGTTCGTTAGCTGCTCCCCAGGTTCTGGCCCAGCTCTGAGACCCATCTCTGTGCCATGTGTCTCTCTCCTCTGCCATTTGGCCTTTACCAAAGGCAATCTGGGGGAGGCACTGCCATAAATGACTCTCAATTTGCCAGTGATTGACACTCCAATGATCAGAGAAGTCTTAGTAACATGTTGTAAGGTTGAGTCCCAGAATTTCAAAGAAGGTCATGCAAAATTTGCATATGAATTGGGCGAATGAAAGCAAGACCTGGGAACACAGCCCAGTGGTATCACTGTCTTCTTGACTTTGGTTCTTAAAGGGTGAGGAAGGCCACCCTGTCCTGGCTGGATGCCTGTCAGAGCCACTGGAGTTGTACCGAGCTCTCCTATATATCCCTGGCACCTTTGTGTGCTGTATGTAGACAGAGATGCCTGAGCACTGACATACAGGCAGGAAAGAGCTGGCAGATGGGCCTACACGTGCAGCCTAAGTCCAAGGATCATTCAACAGCCCAGAGCCCTGAACTCATCTTGTGTCCCATGTGAGTGAGTCCAAATATATAATCACCATAACAATGACATTACTAGTTAACCACAATAGTTCACGGCATGCCAGGCACCTCACCAGTGGCTTTATACCAGTCAACTCAACTAGAGCCTCATGACCACCTGATGGAGTAGACGCTGTTATAATCCCAGTTTTACAGAGAAACTGAAGCCCCAAGAGGTTACATAACTAGACTGAGAGTGCATAGTACACACAAGATTAGAACCAAGGCCGTCTGAATCCTATAGTGACCTTCCAGAGTGATCTCTGCTGAAATCCAGTGATCATATCCTTCCCTGATATGAATAGGCCTGTAAACGGGGGGGGGGGGGGGGGGGGAGTTCAATTGTAGGAGGATCATCAATGGTCCCAGCTGAGCAGAACCAAGCTGGACTTGACTTCCTCCTCCCTCTGGTCACCTTGCTACAATTCAACCACTGTTTTAAGCATAAAGACAAGAATCCCTATGTTTAAAATTTAAAACTAACTCTAAAAGATATCTACACCCCCATATTCATTTCAACATTATTTACAATAACCAAGACATGGAAATAACTTAAGTGTCCACAGGTGGATGAGTGGATAAAGAAAATGTGATGAGAGAGAGACAGACAGACAGATAGATACAGTGGAATACTATTCAGGCATTAAAAAGAATGAAATCTTGCCATTTGGGACAACATGGATGAACCTCGGGGGCGTTATGC